TTGATCAGTCTCAGTTGCCTGCACCTACTCTTAAAACAGTTTGATATCTTGAATTTGGGTTCCTCCAGGTCAATAAAGAGCAGTGTTATGAGTGAGGGTCTAGACCAAGGATTGCAGGACTAGCTCGTGTTTCTGTCGTGTTGTCAGTGGTGGGCCCCGAGACCCCAGCTCAGAAGCAGTGTGCACCTCGGGTGGGGGGCAGGGAGAGGAGAGTAGTCCTCCTGGTCAGAGGAGAGCTCCGTGGAGCTCAAATGGAGGTGATGGAAGTGCCTAGCCTCCCTGCCGTGTTGCCTTTTCCCTGTGATCTGTGTTGCTTCCCAACTATGAGCTCTGCCTTCTTTCTTAAAAAAAAAAAAATTTTTTTAATGTTTTTACTTATTTTTGAGACAGAGAGAGCATGAGCAGGGGAGGAGCAGAGAGAGAGGGAGACACAGAATCCGAAGCAGGCTCCAGGCTGTCAGCACAGAGCCCGATGTGGGGCTCGAACTCACAGACCGTGAGATCATGACCTGAGCCGAAGTCGGACGCTTAACCGGCTGAGTCACCCAGGCGCCCCAGTGAGCTCTGCCTTCTGATGAGACTGTATGGAGGGCGATCCTTTCCCCCAGTGCTCTTGTCTCCCTCCTGCCGCCATTCTGGGGGCAGCCTCAGGGCTTCTCAGCCTCAGTGCAGCTGATGCTTTGGGCTAGCGCATTCTTTGTCATGGCATCAGGGATAATAGGGTGGGGGGCTGTCCTGTGCTTCCTTGGACGTTTAGCAGCATCCCTCCCCACTGTGTACCAGAAACCCCTTTTCCCAGTGGTGACAGTGAAATGAAAAATGCCTCCAGACACTCCAAATGTTCTCCGGGGAGCAAAGTCGCCCCCAGTTGGGAACCACTTGGCTGACTGGTCTCCCTACCCCTCTTTACAGCCGGCAGCCAGAGGATCCTTTTAACGTTATTGTCATGCACGCGCTCTGCTCCGAGCCCCGCACTGGATGGAATCTCACGCCCTTCCCGCGGGTCTTTCTCCAAGGCCTGAATGAGCCAGCCTCATCTGCTTACTGCCCTCCTTGCTGGTCATAGAACACGCAGGCCCACAGGGTGTTGGTGGCAGCCTTTCTCTCTGCTTGGAAAGCTCACCACCTTCTTGTACTCAGATCTCCGGTCAGATGGCACCTTGGCGTGGCCTTTCCTGACCAGCCTTGAAAAGAACTCACTCATTGGGGCGCCTGGGTGGCTCAGTTGGTTAAGCATCTAACTGTTGATCTCAGCTCAGGTCTTGATCTCAGGGCCGTGACTTCGAGCCCCACGTTGGGCTCTGCATTGGGCATGAAGCCTACTTTAAAAAGTAAATAAAATAACTCACTCACTCTTGCTTCCTCCCCTTCCTGGTCTCTCACCCCTGCCCCTGAGTTGCCTTTTTTTTTCTGTATGGAACTTAGCACCGCCTGACCTGTGTGTGCGCTCACACGCGTGTGTCTCCTCCTTGCGCTAGAACTTAAGCTTTGTGAGAGCGGGCACTTGTCTCCCCAGCGCCTGGCCCATGGCAGGTGCTCAGTCATCATTGTTCAGATGAGTCACCTCCTCTGTGAGGCCTGGCTCTCCTCCCGCAGAGCAGCGCCAGCGTCGCTGTTTCCAGAGCAGGCAGGGGGAGCAAACAACGTCCCACAGTCGTGTCCCAAAATCGTCTGAAGTAATGCACGCTCCCTTTAAAAGCCATCCATAGTCCCTTCTCATTCGGAGACAGGTCAGCATTTTGGTGTGGCATCTTTTTTCCCCCCTGTTCAGAAACCTCTGGCAGCTACGCTCTCAAAAAATGTTGATAGTCCCCTCCTCAGAGGTTGTTCAGCAATTTAGAGCCTGTAATGGCAGTTGGGACCTGTCCATCCCCCACCTCAGATCCCACTCCGGTAACGAGTTTTGGGTAACTGCGGTCAGGGTGTACCTACCAGAAAATCACTGGTAGGTTTTGCTTCGCGGCTCGTTCAGCTCCAGAGCCCGGCCTTTTCCTAGAGCGGGCACAGCGCCCTCTAGTGCTGGCCTCCAGTGCCCGCCGTCTGGGTGCCCGATCTCTGCATCCCCGGCCCAGGAATGAATACAGCGCTCGCTGATCTTCCACTGTGATGGACCTTCCAGGAACGTGTTTTACTCGCTTCTCATTTTTGCGGCTCCAGGGAGGGTTGGGCTTTTTGTGCGGTTAAGAGAATGGCCCCTGGAGCCAGATTGAGTTCAAGTCAAGGTCCACCTCCGTGGAGCTGTGTTTTCTTTCTGTCTCCATTTACTTATCTGTAAAATGGGAATGGCCGGAGTAGTGTGCTTCAGAGCTCCGTGGGGGACCTCACAGGTTACAACACACAAAGCACCGAGGACGCTGCTTGTCACACTTGGGCGGTGCCGTGGGCAGGGGACTTCAGAGCTCCCGAGCCCCCGGGAGCACTGAGGTGCCTCCCAGAGCGGGGCTCTGGAGAGCCTTCGCGATGCAGGTAGCACGTGATGGGAGTGGGGCGAGGAAAGGAGAGCGTTTGGAAGGACCTGTGCAGTGGAGAGGCGCCTAGGAGGGGGAGGGCTGGCTTGTGTGGACACAGGCGGTGCCCCGTGTGGGTGGGACGTAGGGAGCTGGGGAGGAAGGTTGTGAAAGGTCAGCGAGAGCCTTGCAGGTTGATCTAAGCCCTTCTAGACGCCCTTCTCTCACCGTCTGGAATTCCCGAGGGAAGGCTATGTAGCCAGACCCGTGGCCGCCACACCCCTTTCTTCTCCCTGCCGTTCCCACCCCGCTCCCCTCCCCGCATTGTCAGGGCTTTGGAGAAATGTCACTCCTTGTCACAGAGGGTTAGAAGGGCCTGAGGACCGGGCCTCCGGGTGGGGAGGTCAGCATAGCCATATCCAGAGGACGGTGTTTGCTCCCCAGCTCCCCTCTCCCAAGAACACTGACCTGCTGCCCTGCCGCCTTCCGCACGGGCTCACAAAGGCAGGTTGGAGGAAACCCGCCTCTGGCCTTGCAGTGACACCAGCTTCGCCCACGTGCTGTTCCCTCTCTGGCCTCGGAACGGTCGCCTCGGTCCCACCTACCCACCTCCCCTCAGGAGCAGCGTCCCTCGGGCCAGGGTGCCGCGAGGCCGGGCGGCGCGCCATCACAGACTACACTGATTCAGGAGCTGGGCCTGTGCCCGTCCCTTCCCTGCAGCTCTTTCGGGCCCGACACAGACCCCTCGGTGGGGACGTCATCTGCAGACTCAACTTGGGGCTCTCCTCAGGGATCCCCGGGCAGATAAGGCGGCCTGTGCCCACGGCCGTGGCTCACGCCAAGGGTAGCACCCCTGTGTCCCACACAGCACAGCCCCTCTCCCATTGGATTTCCTGGCACTGTAACTTTGGTTTCTATGGCAACTTGGGAAGACCTGCAATTGTGGCTTTTGAAGTCTAAAATGGGAGCAGAGGTTTGAGATAGGGTGGGACAGCACTGAAAATACCATGACCCAGACCAGAGCTCTGGGCACAGAGGGTTACAGGATAAGAAGTTCTTTGAGTTAGAAAAGTGGCACCATCATCACGGCGGACCCTGAGCAGAGCTCCTTGTGGCCCCTCACAGCCTCCTGGGGTCTCTGAGCAGAGGGAAGAAGAGCCTGACCTCAGAGGGCCTTCAGCCTGTGCCCTGGGAGACAGCAGACCTGGCATTAGCTGAGCACTTACCGTGTGCCCGGTGCCCTGTGATCGTCTGTGCTTTCATTGCCTTTGTAATCCCCTCCACCACTCCCAGACGGCTGCTCTCACGTGTGGACATAAGTGACTTTCCTGAGGTTTCAGAGCTGGCACGTGTAAGTGTCTGGCTCAGGGACCCCTGATTTTAACCCCCGGGCTTACTCTTAGCTGGATCATGGGCTTGTATTCCCAGGTAGGAGAATCTCCATCGCTTGTCAATAACGGGGCCTGTCGCTTCCTCCTTTACTTTTTTGTAAATCGCATCATCCTACTGATAGCAGGGTTTGTGTCAGCCATCATTGCCAAAATTTCGGTGACCTTGAGCCGGTGTCTCAGTTCTCCTTCCGTGGAGTTCAACTTTCCCTGCCCTGGGCCTTGCACTGGGGGAGTGAGCTTGAGGAGTCGTAGGTTGGGTGTTGTTTGAGAGAATAGCTCTCGCACCCCTGGGGTTTGGGGTCTCGGAGGTGCCCGTCCAAAGGAGGTGGGCGGTCAGAGACTCACCCGGTACCGTGACTCAGTGAAGCATTCCCGAGGGGCGTCCCCAGGTTGGGCGAGCCAGCAAAGAAGACACGTGGGCCCGGTGGACCACTGTCTTGCGGCCGGGCCATTGGAGGGGGGTCCCGTGCCTGGCAGAGGCGGGGGACAGCCGTCGAGGGGCCCTGGCTGTCCGCTCAGAGGAGGCTGTGCCTGGCTGGCTGTGAAGGGATGGGTCCGGTGCTCACCGAGCAGTTGGCAGGGCTCCAGAGCCGGCCGTCCCGAGGGCTCCCCCGCGGTGCTGTGCTCGGCTCTGCGGAGCAGTAGATAAGGAACAGGCTGCGGCTGGTCGGAAAGGATAGCCCAGATTACAAGGTCGTGTCAGGCGATAGCAGGCGTCAGGGTGACCCCCGTGGCCCGGTGTCACGCCGCTCCTCCACCCCCTGTAATGCAGCGCTCAGTGGGGGCGCAGGCAGGCACTCGCAGAAAGTGGGAAAAGGATGTCACTCCTAGCAAAGCGGTCTTGCTGTGTGACGGGCTGTTGAACCTGTAATTTGAAGGAGGCCTTATGTGATCTGTCATTTAGGCACGCTTCTCGGTATGATCGAAACGACCTTCGGTCACCATACTGTTTGCCTTTGGAGCTCCGGGAGGTAGCGCCTGGAGTTCTGTCTGTCAGTCTGGCTGCCGTTAGAGGGTGTGTGGCGCTGGCCCAAGCCGTGCTCGGCACTTAGGGTTTGTGTGCTTGGCTGTCTGTGTGTCACAGCGTAGTCAGAAGTTGGGGGGGAACGCACCCCGTAATGACATCAGAGGTCATTCTGTCACACCGTGTTCTCTTTCTCAGCTGAAGCTAGAGGACCGCTCTGTGGTGCCCCGGGACGTGGTCCGGCACATGCGATCCACCGTGAGTGTTGGCGCGGGGGTTGCCTGGGGAGTGTCTGGGCCGGGTCTGCCCTGGCGGCCGGTGCCGTGCGCCTGCTCGGGCCTGGATGCCTTCTCTCCCCAGGACAGCCAGTGCGGCACCGTGATCGACGTCAGCATCGACTGTGCCGTCAAGCTCATCGGCACCAACTGCATCATCTACCCTGTCAACAGCAAGGACCTGCAGCACATCTGGGTGAGCGGCCCCGCCCGCCTGCCCGCCCGCCCGCCGGTGACCGCCCTGGGCGGTCCGGTTGTCCCCACGCGCACCGCACCTTCCGGACACCTTCCTGGGGCGGGCTTGCCTGAGTGGCACTCCTTGTGAGGAAGCCGTGCGGACGTGAGGTCGGGACACCTCCCTGTGCCTCCGGCATGCATTGCTGGTGGGGTTTTCCTTCCCTCGCTCCCTTTCTTCTTTAACACTCTGTTTTGAAACAACAGATTTCTTCCTTAGTTTCTTTTTTAAGTGATTTCAAACTTAGGGAAAGCTGTACGTTCCCGTGCTCCCTGCGTCACTGGGCTCCTTGGCGGTGAACCTTTCCCTCCGTTGGCCCCATCACCTTCCTCCTCCCTTCCCCGCATTTCCTTCTGTCTCCCTAGTCTTTTCTCTGACACGCTGGAGAGCAAGCTACAGACACAGCGCCCCACGGGCCTGAAGCACTACGGTGCGTACTTCCCCAAACCCGGAACCCGTCTTTCAGCCCCCCGTTCAGGAAGGTGGCACTAGCACGCATCTGTCCGACCCAGAGACCCCATCCGGCTGTTCGAACGGCCTTTCCCCTCCGATCCGGGACTCCGTTCAGAAGCACACTTTGCATTCGGTTGTCAGCTCTTTGATTCCTCGTCTGGAACTGCTCCCCAATCTTGCTTTGTTGTCCACGCCCTGGTACCTTCCAGTGGCTGACCTGAGCACGGAGCCGTGTCATCGGCCTCCTGACCAGACTCAGGCCCCGCATCCTTGTCAGGACCGCCCCAGCAACACCCGGAGCTCTTCCTGGCCCGTGACATCCAGCGGCCACAGTAGGGGTGTTCGTCGTGATCCCGGCCGTATTGGTGTCTGCCCAGCCTCTCCACGAGGTCACCATTTACACCACCTTTGCAAGGGATTCTGCTCTGGGGAGAGATGCCTCAGGGTTGCGTCAATAACCTGTTACTTTTGAAACCCTGGTGCACCAGCCCCAGCCTCGGTTAGCACTTCCCACCCGAGCCGGCCAGCTTTGCGGGGAGGTGCTCCGGGGTTGTGTCCATAATTGCTGAGACCCCGATCCACCGGCCTTAGCCTCCGTTAGCAATTCCCACCTGAGCCGGCTAGCCCTCTAATGCTTGCTGAGTGGTGATTTGATGGCACGGTGGCTTCTCATCCTTTTTATTAGTTGGCATTCTGTACGGAAGAGCTTCACTTTCAGCCTCGTTCGTTTAAATCTTTTTACGTCGGTACGGACTCCGAGGTCCCCTTCTGTTCGGTTGGTTGCAATCCATTACCGCCAGTATCTTGTTGCTTAAATTATTGCCGATTTGGCCAGTAAGCGCCCCTTCAAGCTGATATCTGTGTCCTTTCGACACTTTCGCATCCTGGGTCTTGTTTTTGGTTTTTGTTTTGTTTTGTTTTAAGCACCTTACTTTCTACCTCTTCTGATCCGGCCCTGGAATCAGCCATTTCTCCCAAGAGCCTTGGTTCCTTTCAGAGGGGAATGGCATTTTAAACAGAAATCTGGCCGTGTGCAGGGTATACGGATCGCCAGCAGGGCCTCTCAGGACCACACCAGGAGATGCCTGTGTGTGTACCCGGAGGCACGTCTGAATTTGTCAGCACCTCTTCTACGGACACATGAAAATATGTGATTTTGTCTCAATACTTCTAGTTCCGTTTAAGCAGCTCAGGTTCGTTCTTTCCTTTCCGCTTTTCTGTGTGACTGAGAACCTTTCCCAGCAGGGAGACACTTGCTTATGTATCGCTTACTTGTCCACGTAACCACCCTCCACCTGCCACCTCCACAGCCCACTCCTGCCCCGGAGCCCTGTGTCCTCGGAGGCTCCGTGGCCTCTGTGCAACTCTCTCGTTGCCGCCAGGCAGACCCACCCCCCCCGCCCCCCGCCACCCCCTCCTCCGACCTGGGAGGGGGAGCCTGGGTGCAGCGTAGAACTCGTTGCCGGGGGGGGGGGCGGGCCAGCTCAGGCAGCGAGCCCCTCGGATTCCTCCTCCTCCGTCTCCGGGCAAAGAGGAGCTGGTGGGCTGCACGCCAGTGCCTCCCGCTGCCTCTCACACCCCGGCCCGGTCCACAGCCCTTCATGTACGGGGACTACATTGCCTATGACTGCTGGCTGGGGAAGGTCTACGACTTAAAGAACCAGATCATCCTGAAGCTGTCCAACGGTGCCAGGTACACAGCTCACCCGTGATACGGGGCCACGCTCTGCAGGGGCCACCCGCGGGCCGGGGAGGGCCGAGGGCGTCTTCTCGTGGGGCCTGCGGTGACACGCGCTGCTGGCTCTGGGGGCCCGCCCCTGGGCTGGTCTCCTGTCGCCCTGGCCTAATTTAGAGCATCTGTTAGGGGTTGGTGCTTTATTTTCGATAATTTTTAATGGTAGTCAGTACTCAGGGGTCGGGGCCTTGTTTGTCTCGGGGGAACCACTTGGACCGGTGTGTCCGTCATTGTGCCCTGGTGGAGACCAAACCCATGTTCGCTGTTTCAGGTGCTCCATGAACACAGAAGATGGCGCCAAGCTCTATGACGTCTGTCCCCACGTCAGCGACTCTGTACGTTTGCTCCACCCAGGCAGGCTTCTCCAGGGGCGGGCTTGGAGGGGACAGAGTCTCATGTTCCTCTGCCCTCTGGGCCGCACAGGAAGAAGGACTTCTTAGCAGAGAGCTGCGAGCTAGCCCGGGCTAAGCAGACGCTGGTTCTAGGCAGAGTGGTTTCCTAGAAAAGGGGTGGGTGCGTACCAAAAGGTCTAGAAGTCTAGACCTGGACAGAAAGTATTAGAACTTCTCTTTGCATTTTGTTAACTGTATGTTTTCTTTAACAAATAGCCACTTTTCAGTATTAGAGTAGTACACTGTGTTGTTACAGTCAGATATTTTAGAACGATAGTATATGACTGTTTATAAGTAAGTATGGGAAGGGCACATGATCAGACGAGTGTGGGGACTCCTGCCCTCTAGAGCCCTCGAAGTGTCACCCTTGACCAACAGCACTGACCTGGCCTGAGAGCTTGTTGGGATGAGTCAGGTGTACATTCTAATGAGCTCTCTGGGTGATTTATGTGCATTTTAGATGTGACGCGTGCTGCTCCGGAGCCCTAGGCTCTGTCTTAGCTTAGAGGGCTGGGGAGCATGCAGGTGTGAGGTGAGGCAGGCGTAGATGCAGAGAGCACTGTCCCCTGGGCAGGTGCCACTCATAAGGACTTTCTCTCTGGCCCCACATCCTGCAGGGTCTCTTCTTTGATGACTCCTATGGCTTCTACCCGGGCCAGGTGCTCATCGGCCCCGCCAAGATCTTCTCTAGCGCCCAGTGGCTGTCTGGGGTCAAGCCTGTGCTCAGCACCAAGAGCAAGTTCCGTGTGGTGGTGGAAGAGGTAAGGCTGGGGTGGGGCCAGGGCCTCAGCCTCTGCGCCCTGGCGCTGAGCTCTTACCACTCCCTTGCTGTCTGCTCGGAGGACCAAGAGGCCCCTTAGCCCTCTTGATCTGAGAGGGCTTTAAGGATAGAGGGAAGCCAGGGCGTGGTCTTGGGGTAACTGCTAGGCAGGTGTCCCCCAGCCTGACCCAGCAAGGTGGCACAGCGGTGAGTGGTGGACCCGCCGGGCCCTGACAGGGTGGGGATCCGTGGGGTGAGGCTGTAGTTGTTACAGGTGGGGCCTGCTCTGGGGGTGTCCTACTTGGTGGCAGGCCGTGAAGATCCATCTGGCTTCCTGCTCCGGAGGTCAGGTGGGCTCCGGGCAGCTGCTTAACTGAGAAAGCGGTCAAGCTGCCGACTAAGACCCTGTCCCACCCGCCATCCCCAGGTGCAGGTCGTAGAGCTAAAAGTCACATGGATTACCAAGAGTTTCTGTCCAGGGGGCACGGACAGCGTCAGCCCCCCGCCCTCTGTCATTACCCAGGAAAACCTAGGCAGGTGAGTGGCTCCAGCATGCCCACTCCAGCGACCCCGGTAGCGTGCCCTGCTCGTGTCTCTGGACCAAAGTGAGAGCCGTGGGGGGGGTGGGGGGGGGCCGAGATCACCGTTGGTCCACCCCTCGCTTCTCTCCCTCCCAGGGTGAAGCGTCTCGGATGCTTTGACCATGCTCAGCGGCAGCTTGGGGAGCGCTGTCTGTATGTCTTCCCAGCCAAGGTAGAGCCGGCCAAGATTGCCTGTGAATGTCCAGAAAAACACTGCGCCCAGGGGGAGGGCTCTATGGCTAAGAAGGTACGTCCTTGGGGTTGGGATAGGTGGGCGTTTGAGGAACTGGCCGTGAGCTGTTTCCACAGCCGGGAAGGACGGTCTGTGCTTTAGGCCTTGGGGGGCAGCCCCAGTCACCTTGCAGGCCACCTCGATGTGTATCGCTGCCCCCCTCCCCCCCAAGCTGCCTGGGTGTCCCACATGCCCAGGGTGGGGCCAGGGGCGCCCTGCTGCTCCACAGCCCCCGTGCCTCCTGCTCCGCCCTCACAGGTGAAGCGCCTGTTGAAGAAGCAGGTTGTGAGGATCATGTCCTGCTCCCCGGACACGCAGTGCTCCCGAGACCATTCCATGGAGGACCCGGGAAAGAAAGGAGGGGCCAAAGCCAAGAGCGAAACGGGGTCGGTCAGCCCCGAGGAGACGCCCGATGGGGCCGCCAGCCCGGTGGAGATGCAGGATGAGGGCCCAGAGGAGGCCCAGGACGCGGGTGAGCAGCTGCCCCCCTTCCTGCTGAAGGAAGGTGGCGACGACAGGCTGCACTCGGCAGAGCAGGACGCGGACGACGAGGCCGCCGATGACACGGATGACACCAGCTCGGTGACCTCCTCTGCTAGCTCCACCACCTCCTCCCAGAGTGGCAGCGGCACAAGTAGAAAAAAGAGCATCCCCTTGTCTATCAAGAACTTGAAGCGGAAACACAAGCGGAAGAAGAATAAAATCACTCGTGACTTTAAGCCGGGGGACAGGTAAACCCAGAGGCGCCCTCTCCCTCCTGGCTGAGTGTCCGGCCTGAGGCTGTCCGTGTGGCTCCCGCACACGCAAGCACAGTCTGCGAGCCCCACGCAGGCTCGGGGGGGGCCCAGCTGAGGCCGCGTAGGTGCCTGGCCTTGGCCAGCGTGGAGAGGAGAGCTCTGGGAGTGGGGCCGGCAGGTGGCGTGGAGGCACCGTGTGGCCCCGAGTCTGGCCTCCGGGACCGCGTTCACCGGGCTCTCCCAAACGAGGCCTCAGAGGAGGTCCCGGGGCACGGGACATGCGGGGGAGCATTCACGGACCTGTCTTTCCTCCTTCTTTCCTTGCCTGTTGCGTGTGGCCCGGCCGACCGGATGCACCGCGCCTGCAGGGTGGCGGTGGAGGTGGTGACCACCATGACCTCGGCAGACGTGATGTGGCAAGACGGCTCCGTGGAGTGCAACATCCGCTCCAACGACCTCTTTCCCGTGCACCACCTGGACAACAACGAATTCTGCCCCGGAGACTTTGTGGTGGACAAGCGAGGTAGTGCCGGCCCCAGAAGGCCGCCCGGCCGAGGGCCTGGGCAGGGCTTGGGAGGGAGGGGCCGGAGGCCTCGGGCTCGGGGAGGAGACGCCCCCTTTGAAGAACTTCTTCAAGGACTGGGGCAGCCTTCTCTGGCCTCTGCCAGCCTGGCCAGAGGACACGGGTCCTGTGCCCTGTGCCCTGCGATGTAGTGGCGGCGGGCGGTGGGGCGGGGTGCGGCAGGGCTCCTTAGCCCTAAGTCACGTTCCCTCCTCTGGTTTCCCAGTCCAGACCTGTCCAGACCCCGCCGTCTACGGCGTGGTGCAGTCTGGGGACCACGTGGGCCGCACCTGCATGGTGAAGTGGTTCAAGCTGCGGCCCAGTGGCGATGACGTGGAGGTACGCGCAGCCCCCCCCCGCTCCTTCCTTCAGGGTGGGCTCTGGTGGGCTGGCTGTAAGGCCCGTGGGCTCATGACAACCCATCCCGTGCTCCAGCTGATTGGAGAAGAGGAGGACGTGAGCGTCTACGACATTGCTGACCACCCTGACTTCCGGTTCCGCACCACGGACATCGTCATCCGCATCGGCAATACTGAGGATGGAGCTCCTCACAAGGAGGATGAGGTCTGCCCCCCCCCCC